AGCGCGGCGGGGAGGTTGCGGTGCCGGCCGGGGTGCTCACGTGCACCCCGACTCTGCCTCCAGCCTCCACCCCCGCCTCTCCGTCTTCTCCCCACTCGTCCGTCGCGCTTTCCCTAGCTCTGGACTATTCCGTCGCAGTCCCTCCCTGTCGCACGGCACGTGTGGGTCTCACGCATAGTTAGTTACCTTTGAGGAATCCGTTCAGGTCCCCTCACTTCCTTCCAGAAGTTCATCCTCTTTCTCCTCCCAAATCAGCTCATCACACCCCTTCCCGCCGCAGGGTTGCAGAGACCGAGAAAGATCACGCGTCAGTGTGCCCGAGGCTCGCAGGGCCGGGACGCCTCGGGTTTCCTTGGTTACAGCTTGCACCCCTGAAAATGAGTCAGGAAACTGCCGGTGAATCTGCGCTGGCGAGGGCTGAGCGTGGACACTGTCGGGGGCCGAGTCGTTTACACAGCAAACGAGGGGGAGCGGGGGTCGCTGGGTCTGGGACGCGTCTCCTGGAGGACGTCCGCAGCCACCTCACCCTGCCGGCCCAACGCACCACCGGCAGTGCGCCCGTATTTTCATTGTCTCAGGTGTCCAGGGGACGGTGACCAGGTCTTTGAAGTTACTAATAGGATTAATGGGTACAGCAAACTGGGCCGGGCATGTGTTTTGCATTAGACAAAAGTACTGGTTGATCTTGGAGGGATGTCCCCAAGGCAGAACTTTCCCCGGGCCCGGTCTCTCTCCTTTTCTCCTAGGCATGCTCCAGAATAGAGCCTTGGAAATAAACCTTTATGTCCGTGCGCAAGATCGAATTGTTTTCCATTTCCAGAGGTGGGGTGGGGGTTGATCGGGAATTCTGAGATTTGTAAAAGCTGCTTTCTTGAACGGAAATTGAGCCTTATTTTGAGGGAAATTAGTTTTGCAGACTTCATTCAAAAAAAAAAAAAAAAACTAAAACTTTTGCCCACCATTTTAATTAAAAAAAAAAAAAAAAAAACTAAAACTTTTGCTCACCAGCTGCTCAACTTTTCAGTCTGGGGCTGAGCTGGAACCTGCTGCAAGCCTTTCGCGGTAAGACTTTCTTTGCCGATATTTCGGGAAACTAATATAGTTTTAGATTTCGAAAGGGGGTGTTGGGATATTCTTCAGGTTGCACATTTCTACCAGTTTTAAGTACTGGTAGGATGGAGTCCAGGACTTGGATCTTAAGAATATTTCTTCCAGCCACTCCCCGCTCTCTTGTCTCTTTAAGAATGAGCGGGGGGAGTCGTCCAATACCTTCGGAATAGTTTTTGAATTTTCATTGTGTTTATGGTTTCAATATGTGCTCTGATATTAAAAGTTGAAGTACAAAGAGCAACACCCAACTTCACGAACTCCTGTAGCTCTTGTATGGATTCTAGGTGAAAGCGTAAGAATTTTATTCAAACTGAGATTTAGGCGACCGCCTAAGGAAACGCAAGGAGAACTACGTAGACAGTGCAACAGGCAACTAGCACCATGGTAGAAAATATAAGCCAAGATTGAATAAAAATGGGCTTCTTCAGAGCTCAGTAAGAAGCACCCAACAAAGTCCTCATTACATGCAGTTAGAACAAGCTGAGAAATGATTAGATGAATGGATACGAATTTGATCGGTGCTTTGTAATTAACTCGAAAGTAGCAGACACCAAGTCTTCCTGCCCAGGGGGTGCCACTTGCCTTTAAAACCTGCCCAGCGACTGTTCAGACGCTATTTCTCATTCAGTGCCTCACACGTCTGGCATCCAGAGATTTCTCTGCAGCCTGCCTGTCAGTCACCCTCTGGAACCGTGAGGCTAGCAATATGGAAAGGAAAACGAAGAAGAAAAAGAAGAAAGAGCGTAGTACGAAAAGGAATCTCTTCCAAAGGCATGCGATTCAAAGCTAGCGAGAAAGGTCTTTCTAACTGAAGACACGAATTACTTAATATCAGTAAATTTAATGAAGTCTACATTTTTAATAGAAAGCGTAATATAAGCAAAATGATATTTGGAAGGGGGAAAAGTGATTCCAAGAAGAAGGAATAAAAGGGGGTCTTGTTACATGTCAGAATTAAATGTGACTTTTAAATTTTCTCCGAATGTGAAAGTATATATTAACCATTCCCCACATTTTTAAAAATTTTCTACTTTCTTAGACTATTTGGTATTAGTAGAATATTAACATTTTTGTTTTCCAGGCCATAGAAAAAAATGTTAATGTCATAAAAGGGAAAAAGAATTTCCTATAAGAATTTAGTGTTTAAATATATAAAATCTACTGGTGGAAGATGTCTTCTCAATAATTATATTAACGGGAATAGTAAATATTGCATTTATAACATTTCTACATGTATTCATTTAAAAATATATATCATATAGTATTTATCCAATATCTATAATATAGTTTTTCTTTACAAATTTATACCAATGCCAAAAGATCATGCAAAGTTTAATATAAAAAGAAGGAATAATATAAAAATGTAAGCTAGTTAACACTTATTAATTAATCAAATAAATAAAATTAAGTTTAAAAAATACTAAGTTTTTTAAACTTGATAAGTTTATACCTGTTGTTTCCTTGCCTAAGTGAAATTATATTTTATAGCAAAATAGATATTTTAGAGTTGCACTATTTTAGTTTAAGGATAGAATTTATAATAAGTGCTCCCAAAATTTAACATTTAAATATGATTTTAAGAGTTGTCATTCTTCTGAACATTTGTAACTTAAGGTATGATGAGAATTGAAATATGTAAATTAAATATGATGAAACTCTACTTTGCATTTTATCAATCATATATGTTTACTTTAATAGTTCATAATCATAATGTATGAGTTTAAATAGGCATAATTAAATTGAAACTGGAATTTGCCCCTGAAATTTTATTGAGTATAGAACTATTATTCCCATTATATTTCCAAAAAATGAAGAACTGTCTTGGTTAATTATTTTGAAATTGAATGTTTTAAAAAGTATATTCAAATATGCTAACTGTTCAATGGTAATGTACATGATTTATGATATATTCCATTTTAAAAGCTAAGGAGTAGCTTTTCTTCAGGAATTACACATTATAAAATTTAAGGAAAAAATGTGTTATGATCTATATACTATATTTGGTGATTCTATATACTTTACATATTTTTAAGATGTTGCCATTTTAATACAACACTAATCAATGTTTTCATAATAAATTTGTTATATTTTTAGATATACTAGAGAAAAAAAATTTAAATATTACTTTTTAAAAGTTAACATTGTCCAATGCACTCCATTTTTCTAGTTTTTGTGTCTTCCTTCATTTAGATTTATGATATATTTCAGAAATTGGTGGTTTTCTTCAATTCAAGTAACTTACAGTAAATGATATTGTGCTATACATTGTTACTGTCTAAACCAGTGAGACAAAATATGTAAAAATTATGACATTTTAACAGATAATGTTCAAACATTAGCATAAAATACAGGTTAAAACTGATAAAGTGTTACTTAAAATTCCATTTCAAATTCAAAACATTTTATCATCGATAATTCCCATTGATTCCACATACATGCATACATATTTTATGAAATTCTAATGATTTCTTTCTTTTCTCCTTATTACTCTTTCTTTTTTTATGGAAAGTGTTAAAATTAGGGAGGGATTGGCCCCCTCTCAGATTTCAAAAACTTTTAACTAGATTTCCTTGTCCACCTGTTCTTAATCCAAACTTACTAGACAGCTAGCTTATAATGATCCAAATGAGAAACAATTATAGTCACATCCTAAATTTTCATCTGCATTCACGCACACATTGTATGTTATTTTTATTGACAAAAGTAGAGAGTTTCCAAATATTGCTGAAATTTGCCTCCATTCTATATCTAAATAGGAAATAAACAGAAATACTAACACAAGTTAGATCTATAATGAAATGCTGCATATGACATTATATATTTCTTAGTATTAAAATTATAACCATTACATTTCTATGCACAATTTAAGGGAACTAAGCCACTTATTTTCTCCCATGTCATTAAAAAACAATGGTATATTTTAAAAGGATTGAATTTAGAACAAGTTGATAAATCTCAGAGAACAAAATCACAATTGAAACTAAAGATGGATGTGCTAGGTAAAAACTGAGTCTTCTGTTTTAAATTTTCCAAATTGAAGAATTTAGCATGAGTGATGTAATTTTGGCACTATGACTGGTCATTCTTCTGTGTTTTTATTTTTCATACTTCATCAATACATAGAATGTTTTATTCTTAAAGTGCCTTTTCCATTTTGAGCTTGGGTTTATGATTTGAATCACTAAAACCTCTGGTTTAGCTGGGTTTGTATAGTTTCCCTAAAATATCTAATTGCACATTCTGATTTTATATGATTCAGATTCAGCAAAGAAACACCAGC